CTTTCCCTTTGGGAAAAAGATGAAAAAGCTATAGCCACCATATACTAGGGAGAAAGATTTGCTTTCTGATAGCAGGTTACTTTAGATGAAAAAGTTGTTCACCTTTATGGGTATAAAGAAAAAAATTCCTGTCCTAAGGTATCATTCTCAAAAATGACATAATTTAGTTATAGGGAGGTCACAGAAAGTAGGAATGGTGAGAAAGATGAAGACTAGATGAACATGAGAGAGAGATGTAACCTAAAGACATTTTTTTCTCCAATTTCTTTTCCATATCTGTTCAACTATTGGTTCAACTGTTGTTGAATCATCTTATTCTATTTGGATATGCTATCTACACATATCCTTTATATATATAAATATATATATGCCTGCATATAGATGCATATGGATGCATGAAGATTAGGTGAGGGTGTTGTTCAACCAGAGATTAGTGCTAAAACTAATAATTTGAGGTGATATTTTAAAAGGAAGAACAGCTTATTTTACCTAAAAAGTAGCCTTCACCCCCCCAAACGTCAAAATGGTTTAAAACTCATACATAAAGAATAGAAGGGGTGTAGACAGTCAGTGCACCATACATTGCAACATAGATAAGAGAAATGTTTTTGTCCAATGCTATAAAATCTTTAGTGTCTACACATGGCATAGAGGCCCCATCTAAAATAAACACACACAAACACGCACACTAATTTATATGGTGACCAATTATGGCTTAGTCCTGCAAAATATTATTAAATAACTTAAAGTACAGGAGCAGTCTCATTGCTACTCGCATGGGCATGTCTGCTTGTCTCACAAGGTTGAGTTGACCTTACTGGTGTTTGAAGTTGAGGTTTTGAGAAGTCTAGCTACTTATGGCTTAAGTTATCTAAGGGAATTTGTTATCCTTCTACTTTTGTTAGCAAATAAAAAGTTTCAGATTCCCCAAATTTACTTTGTTTTCTGTAAATTAGACGTGATGTTAGATAGATTTCTTCTAATGCAATTTTGAACTAACAATATAAAAACTGTCAAATGCAAAAAGGAACTTACTGCAACACTAATCAATTTTTTTAGTACTTCTCAATCTTATAAGACATAAAGCACCAGAAGATTGTTCTGTAATGACAGTAAATACTTACCATATTCATCAGTTTCTGTGTAGAAACTTGGTAATTCTATGTAACTAATAAAAATGCATTTATTTTATACCTTGTAAACCAATGTCTTGTGAATCTGGAACATTAACATGGGCTTAGCAGGATGTGAAGGATTTTTGCAACCAGTCATGGAGGGAAACACCTATCAAATGTTATATAAATTGTCATTATTATTTGACGAGAAAGGGGTTGATTGTATTCTCTTTATTGCTCACCTGAGGATGACAGGAATAATGAATACCAGGATCAATCATCTGCAAAGTAGACTGTGATAAGCGTGAAGGCCCAGGAAAGCCCAATGTCAATATAACTCTCTACCCACCTCACTATTCTTCCATCCTGTTTCCTTTTCAGTGTTTCCAAGTTAGTCTGGATGTGCATGTTACCTGGTGGTAAAAAGTTAACTTGGTACTGTACCTACCCTAGTTGTTTTCACTTTATTCCCAGAAGAACAGCTCCATCCTTTCCGATCTGGAAGAACTTTACATTCTTCCCCTTCAAGACAGGGCTGCATGTGGCACCACCATTTCTGTTCCACTATCGAAGCTACAGGAGGGGAAAACATAGACATTTATATATTCACAAAATGGCTGCGTTAATTTATTGTTAATATACAGCATTTATTTTAGTCTCCCTCAAAATCTTAGGAGAAATTTACTGGCTGATATCTACATTTTAATTTGCATGTGAGTCAGAATCTTTCTAAATAAAATAAGTCTATTTATGAAAGGTTATGTGTAATGAATTTATATTTATTTAAATGTATCTCACTTCAAGAACTAATTTCACAGCATTCCTTTGCCATCACTGTATTTTCTTAGCCAGCTAGGTTTCTAAGTTTTGCAGTAGATTTCCTTGGCTTAAGTTAGTATATTTTGTTTGTACATGCTGATTAAATTTATTCCCAAAAGTTAACATATTTACAGCTTCCAACAACAGTATGAAGCTCATGTAAAGGGTGATACAACTCTGATCCTCTGTCAGAGAAAGAGATGTGCAAAATAACCCAATATTTTCCCAAATACTATCTTATGTGAGATTTAAGTACAACGTTAATATTGTATAATAGATGGAATTGGCTAAGACTGATAATGAGCCAAAATATATACATATAGTTCAGATTGTTGTTTTCTTTGTTGCAAGATAATATATGAATAACATGTGAGACAGTGGTATGCAAAACTGATATGCTGGTGTAGCATTAGCACAAACACTTTTAATTAAATGAAGCTGATATGATACTAAGGGCACTCTTAGTTAGATCAAGGTTTGTTTCTCAGGAGGTCTCTTTCACAGGCTTCTAATAATTTGATTTAGTGTTTCCATAGAGTAACAGTAAATAATTAATTTTTCATATCTTCGTCTCCCATTCATCTTGGGTATACCTTTCATAACTCAAAATCCTTCACACCATTTTTAAAGAATGCTGGCTTAAGGGAAAGTCTCAGTGTTCACACTAAGTATTACAAAACCCACTAGAAAAATGCAACAAAATGAAGGAATAGAAGAAGTCGCACCATCAACACAAGAAGGAGCTGCTCGAGTGGTACCTGCTACCTGCCCTGGAAAGCAGGAGCACTTGACTGTCTGTGACCTTTCTTCTATCTTGTTCTTATTACAACATCTGTGGAGTGCCACCACCTCACAGGTTCCAGTTTTAACATGGTGAGCTGTGCAAACAAGAAGAAGATGATGATGGTGATAACATTCCTAAGTACCAAGTTTTTTTTCATTAGAAATACATTAAATTTAGCTCTATAAAGTAATCTGCCATGCAGGAAACTAGAATTACAATGATGCTAGCACTCTAAAGCAAAGTTGAATTCTTTTCTAAATGTAGTATAAGTAACTCATGCAGAAAACTCTTGGTGAGGTAAGAACAATTAGAGAAGAATGTATACTGGAGTATTTCACTGAAGCAAGCAAAGACATTATCAAGGTATAATAAAAATGTATTCATCTCTCAAATTTATTACGTACTTTTGTCTCTTTATAAAGGTTAATAAAACCTATTTTCTTAGTGTGAGATCCTGAAATAAAAGTTTTCCAGCATTAAAATATCCATGTGAACTATACTACATATACCTTATGTACATAAAATACCCATATGTGCATAGGTAGACAAGGTTCCTTGGGTGAATCTGATATCTTTTATTAGACCAACCCAAATAGTTGGAAAATAATCATTAAGCAAGCTTTCAGGTTCAAAAACCCTTTGTCATGCCAAGGAAGTTTCAGCAGTTGGTGTGTGCTCTTCCTGGATGGAATGAAAAGTAAAGAAGCCAGCGGCTGGGCTGGTATGCATACAAGACAGGTAGTCAGTGAAAAGGTAGGTTGAGGAGTCAATGGGTGAGAGAGAGGCTGGGGAGGGGGTGGGAAGAGACAGAAGGGGGATGAAAGTGGAGAGATACCTGGGGAGTCAGATGTCAGGCAGGTTATAATGTGTCATAAATCCTATTTAGTCCATGATTTTTAGTATCCAGGAGGTTGATGAAGTGGAGTTCATAGGCTCGTCTCTGGGAAGTGTTTTGTAAGTTTCCTTTGAGGATCACGACTGAGAGATTGGAGAGAGAGTGGTTTTCTTGTGAGAAATGTGCCCCCACCGGGAATTGGGTATTTCTGTCTTTGATAGATTTCCGGTGTGCGTTCATTCTGGTGCGCAGTTGCAACACATCTCCACCACCCCCCACTATTACTACACCCCACAACAGAGCCATCAGCATTCCTGGATCTTACAGCTGTACCTCCAGAAATGTAATATATCTCATCCAATGCACCAAATGCCCTGATGGAAAATATGTAGGAGAGATCAAACAACAACTGCGCACCAGAATGAATGCACACCGGAGTGGCTCATGGAGCCACTCTAATTAAAGCACCCACCCCCACTCCTGGACCATGTGTATAAACACCCACAGAGACTGAGAATCATACTACTTTGTGTGACAGTAGCAATATGGAAGGTGAGGCACTGTTGTTCAAGGGACTGGCTGGCTTTCACCAGAAGAGAGAGTTAGCAGTTGGCAATATGTGTATGGAAATATCATATGGATCAAGAGGCAGCCAAGATGGGAAAGGAGAAGGCAGAGAAGAGATGGAGGAAAGAAGCAGGGTGGGGTTTCTTCCAAAAGGGCAAAGAGACAGAGTGAAAATTATTACTCCTTCCTGGGTTGGGGAGTTTTAGGAGAGGTTATTGCATTAATGGTGAAAAGGGGTATAATTAGAGCAAGGTATTGTTGTAGGAGGAGGTTGTCAAGTTTTGTTTTAATGTAGTTTCTTTTAGTTGTTTTGTAATAGAAAAAAAGGTTCCCATTAATATGTTTACCAAATATGGGCCATGTGTTTTATAATCACGATCAATGTTGTCTGCATTTAATTTAATTTCTTTTGGTTTTCATTACTGAGCACATGCTGCTTTTGGCAGCAGTTTAATAATAGATACTGTATTTAATGAGGTTTCCCTATATGCAAATATAAGATGGAGTGCTTTTTTCTCAATGCTGATTAGGGTGAAAAACCTTAACCTGTATTCAAGTAAATATGGTATGTACCAGGAACACAGACTCTCTCGCTTCCCTGTCTGTCACACAAACACCAGGGTTACTATATCCATACAAAGATACCTAAAATGGAAAAATAAATGAATACAAAATTTGAGGAGGCTTTCTTCATGGTTCTACAGGACTGGGTTTTTTCACAGGCAGTTCAAACCTTCTGTCTCTTCCTTGTATATTCCACTATATAGGAACCTGTAACCACTGTAATACAACCTTCCTTTGATTGAGCAGCCACTCATAAGCCTAGATCATGAATTTTAAGCTTTGGCCCCTTTAATTACTTGGGGTATCTTCCTATGTACAATGGATGAATTCCAGAGTATGAATTCCCTATATATATATATCTTTGATATTTTAAATGTGGAATTTGTCTGCTGTGTTTTTATATCCATGTTGGACTGATATTCATAGATTCCAGGGTTGGAAGGGACCTCACTGGGCCATCTAGCCCAACCTCCTACCCCTGGCAGGCAAGAAAAGGGTCACCAAACCTGGGATCATGTGATCCCAGCAAAGTGCCTGTCCAGTCTCCTCTTGAAGACCCCCAAGGATGGGGCGAGCACCACCTCCCTTGGAAGCCCATTCCAGATCCTGGCAACCCTAACCATGAAGAACTTTTTTCTAATGCCCAGTCTAAACCTACTCTCCAATAGCTTATGGCTGTTGTTTCATGTTATTCCAGGGGGTGTCCTGCTCAGCAGATCATCGCCTACTTTGTGTTGCTCCCCCCTTATGAATTTGTACACCGCCACAAGGTCCTCTCTCAACCTTCTCTTGGAGAGACTGAAAAGGTAAGGTCCCTTAGCCTTTCCTCGTAAGGCCTTCCCTGCAGGCCTCCAATCAGACGAGAGGCTCTTCTTTGGACCCTCTCCAGGTTGTCCGCATCCTACCTGAACTGCAGTATCGAGAACTGGACACAGTACTCCAGCTGTGGCCTGACCAGTGATGTGCAGAGAGGGAGAATCACCTCCCTGGACCTGTTTGTGAAGCACCTGAGGCTGCACAACAAGGTGCGATTGGCTCTGCCAACTACTTCATCACGTTGATGACTCATGTTCATCCTGGAGTCAACAGTGACTCCAAGATCTCTTTCTGCCTCAGTGGTGCTGAGAAGTTCCCCCTCCAGCCTATAGGTATGTTGGCAGTTTTTCCTCCCTAGGTGGAGCACATATTTCATCAATCATGTCAGGGACTAACAGTGGAGAGTCATAAAAATGGGATGATCCTCTAATCATAGAAGCACCCTTGGACAAACAGTTATCTACAACCCAGAAGGACCATTCTTTCAAGGTAAGCTGGTAACTTAGGAAAGGGTCATCTGTGTGGGGATCCTGATCTGATGAGGAGGAAGACAGGGCAGTCCAGCATGCTCTCTGGGCTGGGCACTCTGCTCCAACCCAGCAGGGCTGGCCCTGCCCCTCTGCTTCCCAACCTGAGCAGGAACAGGCAGGGGCAGGAGTCTGGTCAGGGTGGGGGTTAATCCCCCCCCTCTATCTCACTGGCAGGGACCTGAGCTGAGTCTGCTGGGCTCTTCCCCCTCACTGCTGCAGCAGTGGGGCACCATGGCCCCCCTCTGCCTCAGGGCCCATGGTGCCCCACTG